AGGTGGAGTGGTCGCAGCTCTGGCTGTGTGATCGCGGCTCGGGGGGAGTGATCGCTGCTCGGGACGGGCTGGGCACCGGTCAGAGGGTGGTGAGCAATTGCATTGTGCATCACTTGTTTTATATATAATCTGTATATTCTCGTACCATTATTATTATTACTATTGTTATTCTTCTCTCTTATTAAACTGTCTCTATCTCAACCCACGGGTCTTACTTTTTTTTCCTTTCCTACGATTCTCTCCCCCATCCCACTGAGGAAGGGGGGGGAGTGAGCGAGCGGCTACGTGGTGCTTAGCTGCCAGCCAGGTTAAACCACGACAGATGGACACCTAATACCAGCATGACTGATGAGGACCCTGGGTTGAGTCACATAATCACAGAGTTATAAAGGCTGGAAGAGACCTTCCTATGGGTGTCATCTAGTCCACACCACTGCCTAAAGCAGACCCAGTTATATCAGGGTGCTCAGGGCTGTGTGCAGTCAAGGCACGAATATCAAGGAAGGAGATTCTACAGCCTCTCCAGGCAGCCTGTCCCAATGTTTGAGTACTGTCGTGCTTTTTTTCCCCTTATATATAACATTCTTTTTTACCTCATGTCTGTTATCTCTTGTCCTATCACCATGTACCTGTGAGAAGAACTCCATTTTGCTGTATATCTTCCCATTAAATAGTTCTAGACAGCAATAACACTTCTTCATGTTCTCTTCCTAAAACTGAACACAGCCTGTTCTGTCCTCCTCATACATCATAGACTCTATAAACCCAAGTGTCTTGGTGCCACCTTACTGCATTCACCCAAATGTCTACAAGTAGGCTGTGGTACCAAACTGTTGCACATTACAGCATCTCTTTCCCACACTGGAAGCCCATGTGCGAGGTACAATTATGAAGAAGATCCATGGACTGCCAGCCAGCTATGTCCTACATTTGGCTCCTATAGAAGATGAGTGGCAGTGGTGATGAGTGCCCAATGCAAAAGACATCAGGATCATGACAGAAGAACATGAGAATAAGGGGTGAAAAAGCACAAAGCTGTTGTTTACAATATGAAAGTTCATAAAAACTCTTAATCTTTTCCTTTAAGGGGAAGATATTCCAAAGCAACTCAGAAGGCAGCCCTGCAACTTCCAGGCTCTCAGTCTTCACAGGACAATCTGTAACAAATTTGAATGATCAGTCTCCTACTCGGAAAATGTTCCCATAAAGCAGAACATTATTGTGAAAGCTGTCCAATAATCATTATTCTTTCTGGATAGTCTTTTCAGAGGCACACACATCAGGTTATCAATAGTCTGTGTATATTCTTGCACCTCCCACATTTCATTAAAAAACTCAACACTTAAGTTAATCAGATGCTTAAAAATTAAATATCATGTTGCCACTAAGTTGATGCCCAATTCTTCACCTGGCATTGCTTGCTTTGACCAATGGATTATTAAAAAAACCTGATCTTTGAACTGAAAGGTCATAAGGACAGCATATATGTGTAAAAACAGGACATGAACATTACATGAGTCATTACTCTGAATCATCCCTAGTATCCTAGTTATAGTATCCCAAAATTGACATTCAATGTTCATTTTCATATTAAAAATCATTATATGAAACACTGTAATGTTAGTAATGTTGATGTAGTACTTTTCTGAAATACAATTTCAAACATCCAAGAAAAAAAAAATCTAAAACTCGAAATGTATTAAGGAAAAATGGGAAGTTGAATTGAAAGTCCACCTCAGCTATTAAAAGTACAACATTATTATTGTAAGTATTTTGAACTTTAATTTAAAAGTAAAAATGGACAAAACAATGACAAAAGAGTAAGGAAACTCACATACATGCTCATCACTGAGATTTTTTTTTTTCAGAATTAGTATTTAATGGCATATTTCTTTCCCAATTTCCAAAACACGTGATAAATTTTAAGATTATTATAAACATGCAACATTTCACCCATCATTGAAATTGTGACTTTCCTTGCACATGGCAGAAATGCTTAAACGCTCAATAGCATTTCAAGAAGCTGCAGTTCAAACTAAGGGGAATAGAAATCTATAGTTGATGGAAAAAAAAATGCCCCCCCCCCCCCCCAAAAAAAGCCCCCCAGAATTACTTTAATTTGAAGTCTAGTAGCAAAGATTGCCATTGATTAAGATAATACTATTTCAAGGCTGCACAGATCAGGGCTAGGTCAGAAATTAAATATTTGTCATGTACACCTTAAAATTTACTTTCTTCCAGTATTAATATCCATAAATTTGTTGCAAGAAAAGCTGTACGCTGGTCTGTGGCAACAGTAGACCTGCCGTTCACTGGCAGGAAGACAGTGCCTCATGCCCTGGGGTTTCTTCCAAATATGGTTTCCACGGAAATAATTTTACTTTACTGAGTAACAGATTGTGTTAGTTATACTTTAAAGAAAAAACTACAATATTCCGCCCCCCCATATTACAGAGCACTGGAATTTTTCCCATATGAATAAATCTTAAATTTTCTATATTAATTTATGTCCCCATTCTGGATAATATTTGTTTCCTAAGGGGACTGGATCTACAGATTATTATTTAAAAAATCTAAAAATTTTCAGGTAACACAAATACATTTCCTCCTTCTTCACACTAACACCACAGGATCTAGTACAACAGGACTTTCATACCAGTGTGTCTCTGGATTTAGACAACAGCTAAGTCCTCAAATATGAACATCCAAAGTGAAATAAGATGTATACAACCTAAGTTCTCCACGGTATAGCAAAGATTGCAAGAAAATCACCACAAAGTGAAGACTTAACATTCAAAATATACTTTTTCTGAATGTACTGATGTCTAACAGATCACTAGATTAAAAAAAAAAAAAGATTAAAAAGATGAACGATCTCTAGTGCTATAAACATCTATCTAGAATTAGAGCGTTTATTATTTGTTATTCATATTATGCCATTATGTCATCCATCATCACAATAAAATTATTTATGTCACTCTGTCACATATGCTGCAAAGTATTTAAATATTTGATTACACAACGGGCTTTACTACAAAGAGAAGCACCGAAGCCAGAACAAACAGATTTCAGGTAGCCCATATGGCTTTGTTAGATAATTTTGTCACTAGGCCACAGCAATACAGAAAAATGGATCTTGGTTTTGAAAAATTCTACCACCAGTCACTACTGAAAACCAAACCAACCAAACCAACCAACCAAAGAAAAAAAAAAACCTAAACCCTACAGGTTTATACAATCTAGTTGAAGAAATGTCTTAAAGTCTAATTTGTTGTGTCATAATTCTGTCAGTAAACTGATTTCTATTAAGTGACGACTTCTTTGTATATTCTATTCTTAGAAATACTCAGCAGTCAGGGTTTTGGTAGTCTGTTTATTTCTTTCAAATGCCTATCAAGAACACCTTTTATTTTAAGAGAGCAAAAGACAAGCTGTTTCTCCTTTCTTTCAAATATTCTTTCATTGTTGTCGAGCACCAATAAATGGGATTTGCACCAAAAGACTCTATCTCAGATTCGCTTCTGTCAAATGAGCCTCACCTGCAGGTATTACTGCACTGCTGCACAGTTACACAAGGTACCTGAACTGGGAGAAACTCATGAAATGCGGTCTCCTTTCCCACTTCTGATAGACAGGGTTAGACCACACTGACTTTGAAAGCTGAAGAGTGATTCAGGGAACACATTTTCAGTTCAGAACTGAGTTGCCTTTGAGGTAAAAAACCAAACAAACCAACCAAAAACCAAAAACAAACAAACAAACAAACAAACAAAACCCAAAAAAGCCCTTACTAGTCTTGAAGGACAAATCAGTTGGATATTCCTATAAAACTATTAGGACCTTTAAATGAAATCTCATTTTAAGAAACACAAGTATACAGAGTACTGTCAATGATGCTTCCCATAGCTTGAACTGTAGCAGTTTTGTTTTGTTGTGGGTTTGGGCTTTTTTGTGTTGGCAAGCCCACAAATTTCTTTCCTTGCCTATAGTTTTACAAGACCTGCTTTTTATCAGACCCAATTAGTAAAATGAAGCTAAATCTCTTTTCTTCCCAGTCAGAAGGCTTTTATATTTAATCTGTGTCTAAAGAAATTTTACTAACATAGAGGCCCTGGGATAAAAAAATTTAATTTTATGGTTATAATAGAAAACAGGGGAATTGAAAAAGCCCCTCTGGAGTTCAGTCACAAAAAGGAAAGATTCAATTACTTTGAAAATCTTTAGAAGCACAAGATGGAAATATTGGAAATGATGAGCCAGACTGGGGGTCATCATCAACTGTAATCCCAAATGGCATTTACTCCTTGGCTTGTATTATTTTTCATTTAGAAACATAATGAACTGCAAGCCACTAAAAACACGAGGAGATAACTGCACTTAAGGAAAGTAAGCTCTCTCATAATTACTCATTAATTGAATAAAAGCAAATGTTAACCACAGTAATATTTTCATTGTCTGCCTAGCATTTAGTGACAAAACTGAATTTGCAAGAAAATTATAGTTTCTGAATATGTCTATTTATGTAAGATCCCTAATGGCAATATATTGTTATAGGGCAAGTATGCAAATAAGAGGGCTTAAAATACATACTAATTCCATAAAGGTTAATAAATATATAGTAAAATACTGTGATAATATATTTAAAGTTAGCTATACTCATGGAATGAACCTGGCTCACACCATTTTATACCACTACTGTTCTACTAATTTTAATCTTTTACTCCTAACATAGCCTACACAAATATGAGCCATATAAAGTTGTTTATGTGCATATTCCTCCAAAATGCATATCTGACACC